TGATTTTTTTTATTTTTATTTTTTTTTCCACTCAAATCAGCAAACAATTAAAATAGTTTTAAAGAAATGCATGACCACGAACCCTGCAGTTTAAGTGTCAGGGATTTGTGGCATTGAGAAGAGACCAGGACTGCCTTCAGTTTAATTCTTCACATCATAACCTAGTGGGCCTATATGCTTGTTGAAGTTACTGCTTCAGTACAGTAACCTCATATAACAGTATTTCATTTTTGCTGATGGCATCTCTAAGGAAGTCCTTAATTTGGTAATTCTACATTTGGGACATGGGTTCTGTGCACTGTTGCATAGAAGCTTTGTGAAAGCTAGAATATAGCATTTTGTCAGGAAATGTTTTGGTTCACCTGATGTTAAGACGCTTGCTTTGTTATGGTTGAGGACATTTACATTTAGAAATATATTTATGGATTGTTCCACAAGCAGCAGTTATTGCTTTAATGTTATTAAATATGGTGCTGTTTCCTAGCTTAGAGAGGTATTTAGCCATATTAGTCTGAATTCAGACAGAAGGCAGGGTAACAAGGCGCAGCGCAAGAGTGCACCTTACAGCAAAACTACATTCAGTTACAAGATGCACCTTATTCTGCCTTCTGCCTTTCTTAGCATAGGTAAGGTTTTAGGGCTTGAATACTGAAGCATTAGCTGATTTTACCAGCATTGCAGCTACTTCTCAAGTTACCCTACTTCAAATGAGTGCAGTCAAATTTCAATATGATACACAAACAATGTAGTATGTATGGCTACTTGCAAGCGTGGAAAGAAAACCAAACATGCTTTACTGGAAGGCGCACCACATTACTTTGACCCATCTCTACAACAGTTATATAGATCGGGAACTTCAGCAGGGCTTTTGGCGTTTTTAGCTAAAGAGGATTCAATCAGCTATTAGATAAGTATCAAAAAAGCTCCACTAAAGCGCCTGATCTTTAGAGACATGAGGCGAGCTGGGTCCAGCTGAGGCACTGCCTCATCTGGGCATGTGCACAGCTCCGCATGGGAGCACACTACTTAAATTAAAGAGCCTTTTTTTTTTTGGGGGGTGGGGGTTTAATATCTGCAAGCAGATCAAAAATAGTGAAACTGTGATTTAGGCCAACTGACAGACCATAAACAAGAATAATTTCTTGTTTCTGATGCAAAGTTTACAGGACGTTTGGTTAAAAATTTGTTTTGTGACTTTTGATGTTACTGTAATGGGAATGGTATTTATTAAAATACTACTAATAATGTCCATTGGAGGTCATATTTATGTAATATATGGAATTTTTTGATTGGATTCCTTTAGAATCTTGTGGTTTGGGCATTACACAGATGATGTGCAGTTTGGGCTTCTATTTTAAATAAACTTGGTCACACTTAGTGATGTTAGAAATTTAATTTGATAAGATTAAAAGTGAATGCTGCTAACAGATATTTATATATATTCATTATTGGAAAGATAAAAATAAAACTTGGCCTTCTAATATGGCCAGAGGCACAAATAAACTTTTCCTTTGGGGCTTAAATCCTTTTTAAGATTATTTCAGATAACATGATGAGTCCAAAAAAACAAACCCTTTAAATGGATATTGGAAACCCTTATTAATAAACATTGCATTTTTATATATTATAGTGAAATTGTAGGCTTCCAAACATTTTTTTGGTAAGAAAAGTCCTATTTCCAACTCACTAAATATACATTTTATTTAACCTTCAAATTACAGAAAAGGACTTTAGCTTGGGCATCCATTATGTATTTATAATTAACTCATAGCTGTCAAACTTCTGAGAGACTTATTCTCAATTTAAATAGATTAAAATTGCAGTTAGCCGAATAAAAGTCTTAAAACTTGAGATCAAAACAGCTTCTTCAGTGTCATGGTTTGTGTTCTGGGATCCCCTGTTGTATAAAGACAGTAGGCCATTTCAAAATGGCAGTAAAGTTGGAGGGCTGACTACCTTTAAGACTGAATTATCTCAATTTGTCTACAAATAGTGGCCCTGGACCCTATTTTTATTTGATTTTTTTTTTTCCTGTGCTTGCCAGGAACCAAAGGGTGTGTGCGCTCTGATAAGCATTACCTATTTCAGGAGGTAGCATGTGCAGAGCAGCATACCTCTACAATCCTTGGCATGATACTGGGGGGTGGTGTATGCATGCCCAAAATTTAAATCAGTTTGTGATGAAAAATATGATATATCTTTATGGTAAGAAATATGGATCTGCAAGGACCAGTTGATTCACTTTGAAAAGTAGATTTTATAATACTGCTCAGAGTTGTCCAACCAGGGGTTACACACCCTGCAGGCTGCCTCATCACAAGTTCCCCTGCCATGGCATCCCTGCCACACTATTCTTGGCAGGCATGCTGGACCACAGGCTGTACCAGCATGATGAACTGTGCTATGTAACATGCTGCAGCTGAAGGGATGGCAGGGAACAGCAACTGGGTGAGAGCCCAGGAAACGCATATTAACCCCTCACAGGCTGCATGCAGCCCAGAGACTGCTAGTTGAATAGCCCTGATACAACTGAAATATATAACCAAAACTGTAAAATGTGAATCTTAAATACTGCATATGTTGGACTTTTAAACTGATTAATGCATTTTTTTATGGCACTGTTGAAAATTAGTTACTGTAATTAGTGCTAATCATGTTTTAAAACTAAATATTGACAATAGCTAAATTTAACTGACAGTAATTATTCCAGGTGTTGCTCTCTCCTTTTATGAATATTCTGTAATGCATGAGTTTTTCCAAAAGAATAAAAATGCCCACCCCCTGATTTTGTTTTTGTTTTTTTTATTTTTCATTGACCGAAATATGTTAGCTGTCATACTGGCTAATATTTTTATGAATAGCTGGATGCCTAATTTTGATATTAATAAAATGTCAGATGTATGGGATCTTAGCTATATAGAAAAAGCTGATGTTGCATAGGTCACCAGCTCTCGCTGTGGGAAAGTAACCTGAAAGACTACATTGAAGCCATAGTAGCTTGTGGAACTGTTGGAAATTTTAAAAAAAACACCCTCTAAAATACAAACGTGTAAACATCAGAGAAAACTGATTCATGGCAGAAGACTGGCATTGTCTGAACAAGCCCTGAAGTAATTAAGAGTATTCCTTGTTTTTGAGTGAGGAGTCAGTTTTGGTACATACACAAGCACTCCTAAATTCTGGAGATAAGGGATCAAAAACTAGTTTCTTGTCAAAAAGGCATTCTTGCTATTGTTAGGTAGTATAAAGTTATGTAAATACAATACTGAGAATCAAGTAAAATTAAACCACATTCTGCTGTTCTTCTTTAGAAACATTCCTGCGTAAATACTGCAGTAATACTGTCATGCAGAGTGTATCCTTTCTTGTTGTATCCTTTTTTGTACAATGTTTTCCATAACAAATACCTCAGTTTTCTTCAAGCATAGATTCAGGGAGGAATTTTGTTTTTTTTTTAAGAGTTTTGAACATCTGGTAATATAAATAACTTAAAATTGAAGGGAATTTTTTCAAGGAAAAAGTTAGTGCAAAGTTAGTTGTTTATTTAAAGAGACGCATGATCGATTTCTGTTCTCAAAATGTGCCCTTTCCTCCCTGCTTCTTCTCAAACTTCATAAAACTTTTTATTTCATGGTCCAGATTTTCACCTGGTATAAATTGAAATTATTCGATTGATTTAGGTGCAGCTATGCTAATTTACACCAGCTGAAGATCTGGCCCTACTCTTTTTTTTTTCTTTTCTTTTGTTAATCTCTCAGTATCATACTGTTAGAATTTATTTCAGATTGATTATAAATAGTTGTAAAAAAGATACGTTGCTTCTGTGTTTTTAAGTAATGTTTAATGATTAGTTTTATCCAAAATTATGGGAGGAAATATGCAGCAAGTTTATTCTTTCAGTTTCTCCCTTAAAGAACAGAGAATTTAGTAATATCTCACAATGAATTAATACAGAGAGAAGCTGAATTTCTATTATCCATTGTTACCTATTTGTCATGTCAGATTGTTTTCCAATTTTGGTAATGTTTTGTAGATGATAATTTCTATTTTCTTGTAAATTTCATATTGCTACTATATTGTGATTTAACATTTTTAATCAAATACAAACCATAATATGTGCAGTATATAGCAAGTTTAACTTAGCTGTTCCAGAAATGATTCACTAATCTTCTGAATATTTTTTTCCAACTTTTCTGTCTACTTGTCAGAAAATAACAGTTATTTTCTCATCATGTATACTTTTAACATGCCTTTATAATGTTCCAGGTCCCTTTTGTGTTCCATATCTTTCAAGTGCTATCCAGCTGTGGGAAGAAGCAGTGTGTTCAACAGGAGCATGGAACAGTGCGTAGTAACATTTCAAATGCATTTAAAACAGAACATATTTATGTTCTTTTAAAATGCTTTTAAACCAACCGCAGTCTATCAGAAGACTTGCATGAAAAATGTATGTTAGCCTGCTTGTTAAATCTCTAATAAATTATTCCTTGCTCTTCATTTTGTGACGGTCTGTCTCTTTCAGCAATGAGGAATTTCCTTTTTTTCATAGTAAAATGCTGGTGGATTTTACATCTTTCTTTTATTTGTGGACCATATGTTACGCACTATTTGATTTATGACCTGTTCTGACTAGTCATAATCAGCATTTGCAGGTTTGAAAGCAAATTGTTTTCTGCCTTGAGCATGCTGATATGCTGCTTTCTGTCTGAAAACAGGGCTAAGAGAACTCTATATAGTCCATCTCCCCTCCCTATCACCAGATGAAATAAAACTAATGTTTTAACTTACTGTTGGTAGCATTTTTCTGTTGTTGATGTCAGCAGCTCCATTTCTTCTGCATCTCAGCACCTTGTGGTCCTTTGATTAGAGAAAATGACTCTGGGATTGAGCAAGTCAATAAAGCAGGAGCCAGTTTAAGAATAGCTAAAACAAGGGTTTGGTGTAAATTACTAGTCTTGGTCTGTTATTGAACCAGAAGTGCTTGAAACTGAAGTTTAGAACTGGGGTTCTCATGGGACTGGTTGAGGTGCCAGTAAATTTGGGATGGGGTCTGTCAGCAAATTTCCAGCGATGGAGGCCCAATAGATATATTGGCAATGGGGAGGTTGAGGTGGGGAGGGGCAGTGGCTGTTTTAATTGCCATGCTGCTGCCACTCACTCCACCTTGCAGATCCAGTGCGCAAGAAGCAATCAAGTTTCCTTTTGTTTGTATTTCTTTCAAAATGTTTTAATTTGAATTTAAGAGGGCTTATTAGTTATGTTCCTTAATCCTTAAACACAGAAGTATGTAGGGAAGATTAGGATGACATACATTTTAAGTTTTCAAAGAACACTTTAATACATCTGCTGAGCAATTGTAATAGTGTGCATATATCTGAGCAGAGTATGTGGACTTGAAACAATAGAATAAAGCAGTGAATAGGCATTTTGGAAACAGCCTGTTTAAACAAAAGAATAGGTAACCTTCACTTTCATAGTCTATCAAATAAGTCTCATCAGGTGAACAAAGAGAACTGAAACTCTTAGTGCCTGCAAAAGCATTTATGCTGAGAGGTGCTTTCTCCCACTCTTAAAAAAACAGCTAATTTCCATATGCTATCTTGTATCTAAATTTTAGTAACTGGACAAATGAATTTGTTTAGTAACTGAAATGGGGGCGGGGGGGCAGGGGTTTGGTTTCGGGAGTTGTTTGTTTCAATTTTTTTGTTATAGTTTTAAAGCCACAGTCATGTTGGTCATATTAGCTAAATAAAACCAGAAAAAAATTGAAGCACTGTTCAGATATCCAGTGTATTAGCTGCATAAACTAATTTTAACTTATTTTTAACACAGTACACAAGATGAGCAATAATTATCTCCTCTTGGATTCTAAAAGGGGTCAAAATAAGGTTACACATTACACAAATCAAAGATTGGAAGAATTGGGATTATTTAGTCTGAAAAAGAGAGAACTTGAGAGGGGATTTGATAACAGCCTTTAAATACATGAGTGGTTGTTATAAAGAGGATAGTTCTAGACTATTTTCATGCCTTTATAATGTTCCAAAGATTTCAAGACAAGATTTAACAATTTTCTGTAACATGCATCCTAAATTCCATACTATAAGGAATGTTTGAACTCTTAGTTTGGTGCTAAACACCGGAATAGATTACCCAAAGGGTTCTGGAATCTCCATCATTGGAAGTTAAAAAAGCAGATTACACAAGCACTTGGATGAAATGGTTTAGACGGCAGTAATCCTGCTTTGAGTAGGAGTTGGACTTGATGATCACCTGAGGTCCTTTCAAACTTTTTTTTTCTATTTCTGTGAAAATCAACCCCAAGTTCCAGAGGAGCAAGATGTTTATGAAAACACTCAGCAGAATACTTTAAACTGCATTTTTTTTTAAATTATTGTCACTACGTCTTAAATTGGGTTGTCAAGCAGGGGTACACTTACCCCTAGGGCTACTTAGAAAGGTCATAGGGGGTACAGGTGGATGTGGACAGAGCATGCCCTGGGATGTGGCAGCACTGTCTCCCCCACTCCATTCCCACACTTAGCCACTTACACAGGGGAGGGGGAGGGGCATGCTGGGTGCTGCCACCCCCATGTGGGACATTGTGGCGCCTCCCCACCCCGCATCTCAGCTCACTCTCCTGATTGGCCCCAGAAACCCTCAGCCAATAGCTGATAGTGAGGAGGTATTGCAGCCACCCACTTCTTGCAGAGCTGCAAGGGTCTCAACAGTGTGGGGTGGGGGGAATAGTGTGTTCCTGTGCTTGTTCTCAGGAGCAGGGCTAGGGGGTCGAGGGTATCAGTGTCCCTCTGTGAACCGCCCAGGCACTGCCCAGCCCCACCAGGGGGTTTTGCACACAGCAGCCACTGCCTCATGCTGCTTTCCTACAGCCAGTTGCACACACAGCTTCATGAGCTGCTGTTGGGTAGCTTGTCATTGGCCTGGGGTGAGGCCCATTAGCAGCCCACAGAGCTGCGTGGGCACTTGGCCACGGGAAAGTGGGGCACAGTGGCAGTGAAGGGTGACAGCCCACAGAGGGGTGATGCTGCCTTTGGCTCCCCCCACCCCCAGCCCTGCTCCTAGGAGCGAGCACTCTTCCCCCTCCCCCCTGCCATTCAGACCCCCTGTGCCTTGGTGCTGCTGCT